GGCCGGGCCACAGCGCCGCCGCCGCCGCTTCCCCCCTCAGCCCCGCGGGGGAGCGGGGAGCCGGCTTCTCCGCCGCGCCCCCGGGGACACAACGTACCTGCCCTGGGCCGGGAGTAACCAGAGCCGCCCCCGCGGGACCGGGGGTTCCTTTTCCCTTGGGAAAGCTCGGCCCAAGGGCAGGGGGCGGTGCCGCTGCGAACCGCCACCGTGTGAGGCACCGAACCGGCCATGGTCACCGCTCCTTCCGGCACATTGGATGCAGGTTTTTGGGGGAAAAAACTTCAACACGGCGGCTGCTTCTTCCTCAAGAGGAAGATGCATTTCTAGTACCGGTTCTTAAAATGTTACATTTTTATTTACGTTTCTTTAGATTTTTTTTTTATTATTCTACTAAAAGTAGTTGAGAAAAATCTGTGGCTCCACGTCTTATTGAGAGCGTTGATCTGCACTGGGACCAACGGAGCAGAAAAGCACAAGCACCTGCCGCACGCAGAAGTCAATCAAAATGTTCACCCTAAAAACCCCCAAATTATTGCTGCAGAACGACACAGGGGTACGTGGCAGTGAAAGGAAGAGCTGTGAGGTAGGTGCCCCTCTTCCACCGAAAACACAAGTGCCCATCACAGCACACACCTGAAAAGAGAACGTGTCAAACTCGGGGTTCAGGGGGACAAACCAGCACGGGCAAAGAAACAAAAGCAGCAGCAGAGGAGGAGCTGCTTCTGGGCACTTTTCCTGGGGAGTGTTGAACTGTCACCTCTTTTGTTTCTTATTTCAACGCTGGCTTTTTCAAACCTCATTGGTATCTTCCCAGCTCTCCTACGTGGCTTGCTCTGCCTCAATTTCTTAGTCCTTCCTACCTTTGTGATTATCTAAAGGAGAAAACCTTTTCCAAAATCCCAGCAGAGTGGAATTACGTTCCAGGTTATCTGTCCTCATGAACTAGACCTTCCAACCTCCACAGTCTCCTCCTCTCCTACCCTACTGCCACAAACACATTTCAGGTGCAGCGGGATGACTTGTGGGACAGGTAATCCCTTCCCAGACATGGAACACGGGGGTTTAGAAGTGACCTGCAAGAACCACATGATCTCATGTGAACTGCTGGCGTGTTCCAGTCCACAGACCAGTTTTAGTATGAACCTCTATTTCTACAATATCCTTGTCAAAAAAAAATCTACATCAATATAATCATCAAAATACAAGAAAAAAAATAGTGTTTTTCTCTGGATTTCTAACTCTTTTGTCCAGGAAACAATTATCACGCTAAATTCCAGTTTGAAGGGAAGGGGAAGAAAAGGCATCATGATGTATTGCCATTATGGGAAGAGCAAGATAGACAAAGGGATGTAAACCTGTGCCCTGTGGTAACAGCGCGGGGAGCTGACTGAAACCAGCTCCTGCACTGGACACCTAAGAGCTGGGCCCATGTAAAACAAGATTCCCTCCTTCTGATGCATGCCAAGCACAGGAAGGTAATCTGGAAACACAACTGTCTCTTCCACGGATGTGTTAAAGGCACCTACGCTATGTTTGCTCTGTAAATTCAAGTGCTGCTTTATTTACTGATTTTACTTCCATTTTACTTATTTAGAACAATTTCCATATGGTGACATGCCTTTAATGACACTCATGACTCGGAAATACTTGTCGATGTAGTCAAACAATGTCTATTGACATGAGTCACTCGAGTTAAATAAATGTTATTAAAAATGAAACAAAACAAAAGGCAAATATATATATATATATCTCCAGCAGAATGATAGGGATCATCACCATTTGATCAATCTTCCCTGTGAGTTATATCTGCAAGTTACTTTGAGGTAGCGCTAGAAAGAAGCTGTTGGTCCAAGAGCATCCCTGCAAAAAGAAACATTCATGGCTTAAGTACCATTTAACCTTTTTTTTGTACCCTTTTTAAGTATTCTTTTACCCTTTTGGTTTCTTTCTCCCTGTTACTGACTGCAGGATTAGTAGCCCCTCAAACCATCAAACTAAAGCCTTTCTGTTTAGAGAAAAAAAAAACCCCACTACTCTTCTTGAAGAAATCAGCAGGTTTTGAGTAAAGGCACTATCTATTGCACTTAGGTGCAATCAAGAGTTTATAAAACCAACACTAGATATTCTTGTGAGAAAAAAACAAAACAAACCAAACAAACCTTCATCAAGCTTAATTAAAAAAAACAAAACCAAAAAACCCCAAAACACTCCATTTTTTTTGTTTGTTTTTCTAAATGCTCCCGCTGCAATCAGATCTTTGCAGAACCTCTTCCACTGCACTACACAAACAGTACCTGCACTACGTGGGTACTTTACAGCCCAGAACAGAAGGCACACATGTCTGAAAGTCTCCAATGCAGAGCGGATGGACCTTGTTAACAGGTAAAATCTGCACTAATGGGGTGGCCACAGCTGTGACATTTTTTGAGGTTTATGGACTGTGGTGATGCAGTGTCAGACTAAATAAAATCACTTAGCTAGGTGAGCCCCTCACTACACAGTTCACCTTCCCAAATGCCAAAAACCAGCACAGATACTCCAGAGTATTTCTGCTGAGCCAACACACACCCTTAGCATCACACTGGTAACGCAATAAAAGGTTTCACAAATCACTCGCTGCAGTTTCAGTATGGTGTTAGCTGATGCTATGCAAGCTGCTTCAAAGCAGGATATAACCCAGGCACGGACCTGGAAGCTGTCGTGCTGCTCGTGGTGATGGTACTGGCTAGATATAAAATCCTTTGCTCAGCAGACCAGTTTGTACTCCCACACTCAAGCACTAGAGCTACACACTACAAAGGAAGTGGCATCAAATCGTGTAGTTTTGAAGCTTCAACACTCCCATCCACATCCAAGGGGCCTGCATCTACTATCTCCAGTTTCCTCCCTACTGCAGCCCTCCAAAACCATTCTATACATGCACATGAGCACCCCCTTTCCCACTCAAGATTCTCTTTGCTTCATTTACTCCACTTTCTGTCAAGTTCTTGTTAATAATCTCCCTCCCATCACCCTCCAAAGCCTCATCAGTTCACACAAGGGAAACATCCACTCACAAAATTCATGTTCCCAGCTACCTTGCTACTACCTCTCCTCAAAGCTGGGAAACAGTGACACTACTCCCCTTGCCTAGATGAGCTTTTTGCTTTCTGTCTCTTCCTACGCGTACATCTGCACAAAATCCAGGAAGAATAAACTTCCTGTAGTACCCCAAAAGCCTGTTCTGTTTTAGAGCATCTACATTTCATGGACAGGTCTTTGAAAATATTCCTAGCTGAAATTAAAACTGTGAAAAAGAGGGAGATTCTAGTCAACAGCTAGAAATGACCTGCCAGTGCTGACTCATCACTGCAACAGAGTATTTGTTTGAAATTTCAGAACAGCATATAGGTTATGACCACTGCTTTAATTACATTTAGTCATAAAAAATACCAGAGAACTTTATTCCTATCTGCCAGCACAGATGGCAGGTATAGTTTAGATTGCAGTACCAAAGAATCTTGACTAGCTTTAGTAGCTTCCACAGCTATTAGCTCTGATAATTTCTGCCACCTCTTTTTCTTGGAAGAGTATCTTGTTTCCAGCCTAATTTATTTTGTCATTATGTACATTAAGTAGCAAATACTTTTGCAAACACATAGGCTTAAGTAGTCCCTGTGATTGGAAAATACTTTATATCCTTCAAGATGGGAACAGTTGAGAGGAAACCACTCAGAAGTTGCTAGCTTAAAGCAGAACTTCCCTCATTGCTATCTCCCCTAATCTCCTTTGACTTGAATACTGAAAACTGTCACCCTACTAAAATTTTGTAACCTCATCACTATAAAACACTTCAGCACGAAGAAGAATTTGCAGAGATGTTCAGGACAGGGTGCAACTTAGCTGAAGAGTTGTTACTAGGACAGTCTTTTGTTCCTGAAGGGTTATTTTTCCTCCTTTAAACCAGCAAGTTATTTTCTCCAATAATTTTTAGGTTTAAGAACATGTACTGTGACACCAGTTTCTTTGCTGTAAAGTTTCAGTTGAGAAGACTAACAATAAGAAGGGCAGGAATAAAACTGTCAGTAGGAATCATCCTTAAGTCTTTGGAATGTTTGCAGTTATGGCAGCTGAAAGTTCACCCTTCTGTACATTTCAAATACCATGTTGAGAAAGCAATTCTCACTGACCTGACATCAACACTAGTGCAGTTAGCACCAGACTTCAGGAGAGAGTGGTGCCAAGTGTTCCTATAGCAAACCCTCAGGGCATCTCCCAAATACACCTATCATCTAAGCAAGTGTGGTAAGAGCTTGTAAGAGATTGCCTAGGTAACTTGGAAATACAGGACAGCTAGTTTTTGCTAGCGCCCTGACAGCTGAAATACCCTAACTGCCTCCAGCTAAATTCCACAAGCCAGAAGAGAATGTGCTTCACGTATGTAAGTAAAATCCCTTGCTGGCAGGTTTGCAGAAACAAAGTTTTATTTACACAGGCAAGTCTATCTTTAGACCCCATTGAACTCTTTACATTTCTAGAATATTTACATGATTTCAAGATGCTCCAAGAGTAGAGTGATGAACAACAACAACAACAAAAAAAAAAGATTACAGAAACTGTCAAAAGCATAGCAAAAAAAAAAACCAAAACAACCCCAACCTATCATTGTGCTTTAAAACTTATGATCTAGAGTAATGTAGAAGAAATGTAATTTTAGCACCTTGGTCATAACGGTCATGCTATATAAGACACTTAAATAGCAGGGGGGATGTCAGAAGTGACCGTATCCAGAGGTTGCCAGTGACAATTCATGAGGGAATCATAGAGTTCTTCACTTGTTTCCATGAACTGTCTGTTCATTTCATCAACATCCAAGTAAAGTTGTGGATCTGAAAATAAAAGTACAAGTGTCAGATCTTGGGAGGCATGCACACAAAATCCTGCAGTAAATGCTTAATAAAGCATGTTTTAGCTAAATTTAATGGATGTAATACTACATCAATAAGATGACTAGAGTTTTAACAAACCTGACAAGTCCAACTTCTTTTGGAATTTGTGTATTAGAATGTTAGGACTATCTCAGTATTTCAAGGTAAAGAGCAGATTTAAGGATAATTAACCATTAAACTCTCCAAAAATCCACTTAATTCATTTCTACTACAATATGTTATGCAGGATAAAGTTTCCAAACACTGACACAAGATGTCTGTACACAAGGAACTGTCTGCAAACCTTCCAGGCCAAACAATTAAGTTTGGTACCAAATCTTTATGTGTAAGCTGAATCCTCCTTTCAGCACCTGCAACATGAGCTTTTACCTCAGGATTTAGAAAAAGCAAGCTTTTGCCTATTAATGAGTTTAACATAGAATAGGCTTTGCAGGATCTTAGCACGATTGTTGTATCAATACAAAGATACAACAAATTCTCTATTAGACCATTCTGTAAGGTGAATGAAGGCAAAGTTACAAGAAACCTGCTATGAAGTGGTGTTGACAATGTCCCATTCTACTTGGTGTGGCGTTCATTATCAGCTTTAAAATCCTACCTCAGCTCAGCTATAAACCACAGAGGATCCCCACTATATCAGCTCAATTTCCAAGACATTCTTCATCCAATAGTCATTGGCTTGTTATTGCTAAAGGGCACAAGTACAGCCACATTCAAACTGCAGTGACAGAATCATCATTACCTTCAGTTATTAGGTCATCACTGATTTCAGTCATAGGTGCAGTTTCCTATAAAGAAAATAAAACCTTTTAAGTTTAATCATAATCCATTTCAGGAAGTATAACAAATCCAAACTGATTTTGTACTCCCAAACCTTTCCCTTCTCCCACAACAAGAGGTAGGGGGGGGTTGTGTTTGTTGAGGAGGGGTGGTTTTGGTTTTGTTTTGTGGGGGTTTTTTGCTGGGTTTTTTTTCCTGCCTGGTTCTTTTTTGGTTTGTTTGGTTTGGAAGGGGAAGGTGTTGTTTTTCAGGGTTTTTTCTTTTGTTTGGTTTTGGGTGTTTGGTAATTGGGGGCTTTTTATTGTTGTTGTGGGGGGTTTTTTTGTTTGTTTGGGGGTGTTTTGGGTTTAGTTTTGGGGTTTTTTTTTTTTGTTTTTTTTTGTTTTTTTTTTTTTTAAGAAAAATCCTAGTCTGGTTCAGGTTGGAAGGGACTTCCAGAAGCTGTAATTGATAAATTGGCTGATCTAAGGTAAGACCCATCTTACAGTAATTTTTTAGTTTGCTTTAAGCAAAGCATGTCAGAAAAACAGGAAGAGAGGAAGCCACATACACAATTATGCCATCAGAACTGTTATTTGGCATATATGAACAAATAATGGTGTTTACATATCTAATTTTATAGACGCACCACTTAAGCACTTAAATCACAGTAACTCTGAAGGAAGCCTGCTATTCTGACCTCCACACTAAGCAGAAAGCATGATTTCAGTTTTAGGACTTGTTTTTGCTCTGGCTTACACAATTCCTACAACTTAATATTTGCAAATTCTTTTATTTAAAGAAGTGTGTAGTATCTTTACCTCAAAAACAGCTGGAGCCATAACAGCATCTCCTAAAGAGCAGTCTCCAACAGCTTGCATGTTATCATAGGGAGTATAGGAGCTGTAGTTGTATTCAGCATAAGGATCATAATTCCACTGTGAGTAGTAATTCTGATAATCTTGGTAATAATCATTATAGTTGTAGGACTGGTACCGCTGGAATTCTGCTTTCAGTCTGAAACATGAGGTGGTAAATACAGTTAGAGTTCAGGAACAATAAACTGCAAAGCCAGTTCTGAAGGTAAACAATTTGCCAGCTTATGCATCTCAAAGTTTTAAAAGGAAGCTTTTCTGAGCAGTTGCCTAAGCAACAGCCTAAGTCACAGCACAAGATCGCATGTTTATACAGAAGCAAATGCTCCCATCTTCACCAACACCAAAAGTAATTATTCTCATGGATTAACTTGAGTCATGACACTGTATCCATTTTGAGTGTTTTTATTAACTGTATAAGCAGGCTGCTGATAAATCTTTGTGCTCTGCTAAAAGCTGATTTATTTAAGACCAGAGACATTTATCAAGCACAGCTGCTGTAAAGATGCAGTCAGTCTTAATTAGCACTTCTTATCTTTTGCTTGGTTAATACTAAATTCTACTATTTCCAGAAACAAGGGGGTGAAGTCAGATTATCTGTTTCAGAGGAACATCTGACACTACCTGCCAGTTTGCCACATCTACTTCCACCTGCTCAATTTTTAGTCCTTAAACAGCTGCCAAAGTACAGCTGGCAGGTGAAGTCAGCACTGCCACCATCCAGCAGGAAAATGACAGAACTCATTGAGTCTCGAGACCAAAGGACCAGCTGATTAGTTTTCACTACTTTCCCTCTCCTGAGGGGATTTCCTGAGGGACAACATCACACTAATGACAAGAATCAATGGATAAGTGTTGTCAGTACTAAAACATTCCAAAAAATCCTCCATGCTTTGACATTTCTTCACTAGTCACATACAGGCAGACCTCCTTGTGTTTGCAGAGTCCTACTTCTCTGCATCTCAATTCCAGAAAAGCCAGATCCAGGCTTTCTGACAAGAGCACAAACTGAAGGACCTCAGAAACAGTTTCCAATATAAGCAACTTGGAGACAAATTACTCTGATAGCTGGATATTTTGATGCTAGGAGAGCACAGCACTCAGCCATTCAGAAACAGATACAGATTAGTGATGTGTTTTAATAGCAATATTCCATGTGTTTCACTCCTGTAAAGGTACACACACATCCTAATAAATGGGTATTCTATTGTCTTGCTACTGTAGTGAACAAATGACTTATTGGCTTAAAGTCTTCTGCTTCCAATTTCTCTCCTACATACACCTCTGTAGGAAAGAAAAATCTGAAAGTACTGCTGACGTTCTTCTGGACAGCAGAAGTGAGGAAACTTGCTTCTTTGGGACCTCTTCTTGTTTTCAAAATAATTTAGTCAGAGCAAATCTGGATAATCACAGAATCACAGTGGTTGGAAAAGACCCTTAAGATCATCGAGTCCAACCATAAACCCAACACTGCCAATTCCACCTCTAAACCATGTCCCCAAGCACCTTGTCTGCCTGTCTGTTAAATCCCACCAGGGAAGGTGACTCCACCACGCTCTCTTGGATAAGAGCATTTCCATTCTAAAGCAAAGAGACAGCTTTTACAGAATTATCCAGGGTAAAGAGTAACAAAAGATGGTTTTTTTGCTATTTAACAGAACGTACAAGCTACCCTCAGGAATATACTGAAATAGTTTTATTTTTTATTTAAGTTCTTTTTTTTTCTGTATCCAAGTTTATCAAACTTGGTATCAATTCTCTAACTGTTCAGAGACTTGAAGTGCCTTAAATAACTGAATGAGAGAACCGAGCCAGCAGAGTGAAAAACCTTCTCAGAACCAATGAACTTTAAATTCCCTGCTGTCCCAATCACTTGAAAAGCAAATACTAGTATTCTAAAACTGTTCCAAAGCAACATCTCCTTTGGTTTCTTCCCCCCCACGCCCCCATATTCTCTATTTTTCCACTTAAGAGTTGCTTCTTCTGCCAGCCTACTGTAAAACTAGCAATTTTCTACCTTGCCTATGCTAGAGAAAAAGGTCTAGAAGAAAAGCTCCCTAGAATTCAAAACCACTTGTTGTTCCTTCTACAGTCCCAAACCTGGGAAATATTTATGAATGCATTCAGCTTCACTTCCATAAGAATTAAGGCTGGTTACAGCAGCAGCTGAGCCAAAGTTAACACAGCCTGGGCTAGAATCAAGAGTTGGATTCCCCCAGAAATCCTGAAAAAGGTTGATGAATCCAGGGAGTCAGAACATAATTTTTATATTTATTTTACAGTAATACAAAACATGTATTTTTGGTTTTGTAGACTGCATCATGTGTACAGGCATTACAGCAAGGGCCACAGACTTTACAAAGGCAGAGCTACAAGAATCTGATTATTTAGAATTACTGTATCAACACACAAGTCATTTGTTACCTTTTAGAAATTCCTATGCTCAGGCGGATTCGTTTTCCCCCCAGACCTGGTGCATTCTGGCAGTCTTGCAGTGCCCTCATCTGATCACCTTGCTCACCAAATCTGACAAAGGCATACCCTCTACAATTTTCAAAAGGGAGAAAACAAGTTCTAGTATGCAAAACAGTTACAAAGCTAACAAATTCAATTTGTGCTTTTTACAGAAACACAAGACAGTAGCTACTATAGCTTCCACTACCTAAGCAGCCTCTCTGGCACCTGCACATGCACAGAAGATGCTTTAATCATATTAAAAACTTGGGCCAGAAGCAAAAAGCTTGTTTTTTGACAGCATTAAGGTGCAGCTTTCTGCAAGCCAGGGCAACAATACATTTTATTTGCTATCTGATCCCGTGTTTCTGCATTTACAGCAGTTAATTTATCAGTTAGTATTAGCCCACTCCTACCACTGTACAGCATTAACATTCTTCTGATACTTGCTTTCTGTTGAAGTTTCTTGAATGACTATTACAGCCAGCACTGTCTGAGCAGCAAACTGGCTCACCCTGGCCAGTATAGCTTCTGTTAGACTCTACTTACTAATATTAATAGGTTCAGTCTCCCAACCCCCTACGGATTCGCCAGGCCTTGCACTTTCCTCCCACGTGTAAAGAGGGAATTATTTTGTCTTCAATACTGCAGATAATGGCCATGCTGCTGTATGGAAGCACAGCAGCACAGATCTCCGTGCACAGCCCTCCCTTCTCCCACCATCTCATTTATTTCATGCAGATATGCACACGGCTACACTGAAGCTTATCACAATAACTGCTTCAACTAACCAAAAAGTTTTAGAAACACAAGGATCTACGCTGTTAAAAAATAAAAGCAATACTAGAGACTAATCTCTCTCTTCCTGCCTCTGAAGAAAATGCAGAAACAGACCTGACACAAGTTCCTATATATTACTTACAGAAGCAAACATACTGACAGCACTACACATTTTCACAGGCGTTACCTGGAGTATCCCAGCAGGTCTGTTGCTATTTTGCAGTCAATACATGAGGGGTATCTCTTTAGGAAATAGTCATAGAGCTGGAAATCATCCACTTCTGGAGTAAGCTCCCCAACAAATATCGAATAATCTGGTCTTTAAAAAGATAAAAAGAGAACAACTGTCAAGTTTGAGACTAAGGTGATTGTAATCATAAGGTACCTAACATACAAGCAGGTATTTATCACCAAACAAACAAGGAGACAAAGTTATTGACTACAAAACTCTGCTGAGTAACACAGAGAACTGCAATGCCATCACTCCAGCATGAAGTTCTCAATTTCACCAGGTCCATTCTACTGCTTTCACCAAAAAAAGGGCATTTCAAAGACCCATTTTATTACCAAAAACCAACCCACTTTTCAAAGTTGGTTTTAAAAAGAAGTATTTATTGTCTGAATGGGGAGGAAGGGAGAAAGGAGGCGCAAAAATACTAAGAAAAACTATTAACTCAAGGTACAGCCATGATTTAAAAAAGCCATAACTATTTTGCCACCACTTCTCAGTGATTATGGGAGAGACAAACAAGAAGAAACTTAATTATTCTATTAGCACTGCATTTCCATAAGCAATACTTCAGCGTGTAGGCACTGTAAGTGCCATTTCAGGAGTTTAAAAGTAAGTGATGGCATTCACTTGTCACTATCAATTCAAACAGGTAAGGGGTCAGAGCTTCTCACTTCAAAAAGTGTTTACCTGACTGCACTACTACTAGGGACAAACTCTATTCTTCCTGGTTTTATTTTGTTCTTTTTCTTCCGTTTCTTCTGTGGTGTTCTCCACCAGCTGTAGGCCTGGAGGCATTCTCGTTTTTTCGCCAGTAGGTCCTGTTGGGAGAAAAAAATCACATTTATAGTATTTAGCCTCATTTACATTCCTCCCTCCCACTCCCCATCACCACAGGTGATTTCCCCATATTCACCTTGCCCTTGAAAGAAGCCTGGGGTCCCATTTCTCCCTCCGCCTCCCATGAGGGAAAGCAGCCTCTGGGGAAAATGCCTGGCAAAAATAACAGAGCCAAAGGATTGTATGAACAGCCATATTCCCCTGACTTGTCAAGCTGGCTAAAGGACTGACAGCTTCCTCTTGGGATTAGGGAAAAAGCAGATAGCCCTTCGATGCTGGCCAATCCTGAATGTTGTTTAGCTTCAGGACCGGACTGTGTTCCACTGGAGCTCCAGGATGCAAAAAAAAAACAAACCAGAAGCCGCACGGTCTAAGTGATGAAGAGGCAGGGAAATCGTCACTCTTGCCTAGAGGGGATCTCAGCTGTCCCTATCTCCCCTCACACAGGGATCTTTCTTCTCTTATGCGAGATGCCTCTCCTCACTAGCCAGCTGTGAGTCGCTCTCCCAGGCCAGGAACAACATGAGGAGGCCAATTAATGGAACATAAGGAGAAAGCAGACCAGGAACAGGCACTAGCTTGGCTGAGGGGAAAACTCAAACCCAGACGCAAGGCCAGGAAGAGGCATAAAAAGTGCCTCTTGGAAAAAAAAAAGTAATAAAAAACAAGAAAGGAAAGAAAAACCAAAACCCCAAAAACCACAGTTTAAAAAGGAAGTGGGGTAACTGCACAAAAGAAGAGGGAAACAACAGCTGTGTTAACACAGGCTGCCTCCCTCATTTAAGACTCCGAAGAACGAAGATGTCCAAAAACAAGACTGGCGTTCCGCAGCATTTGTTACTTACGCAGGCTTTAGCGTTCTTCCTCTAGAACACCTCTACATGTGTCTGACAGAGAGTGTCAGGCGCAAGGTCCTTCACAAGAACTCATGCTCAAACAATCCAAACTGCAAAGCTCAATGTTATCCCCCAACCTGCTTCAGTCGATAGGATTAAGTGTCCAGAGGACCGCCACCGATTACCAAATTACCAGAAGAAATCAGAGGACTAAAAGAACACCCAACTCAGAGCAAGCTAGCTATTTCAGCTTTACATTTACTAGGAATTCTGAGTGTGGTTCTGGAATCCAGTTAGGCACTGCAAGCCTGAGTTTCTGACCAAGTGATCTTACCTGGCTTGCCATGGTTCAAACTGTCTTCTGCCCTTCTTGAAGAATACAGCTGCACAGGTTCTGTTTACTGCACTCCTTCAGCTGAAAAAGATGTGGAGGAGGAACACAAAGGTGAAGAATCTTAAACTTGAGATGAATTCCTTTCAAAGATGTTTGCCTCACCTTACTTTTTAATGTTATTAATTTGTTTCTGCTAAAGCAGTGGAGATAAAAAGGATATAAGGTCAGTGGGATTATGATTAAAAGTCATTTTCACTTCCTTCAACTGCAACAGTCCACAAAGTTTTCCCACTGTTCAAAGCACTAGGAAATTACAGAGAAATTTTAAGTCACCTATACCTGACCCTTTTTTCTGAAATACCTACATGTAATATAGCAATTCAGATGATCCATGTTCTAAAAGAACCGAAAACAAGGCAAAGAGAGAGGCCTCCATATGTTTTGTACAACCCTATTTTTTTCCCTCTGTTAGCCAAACTGAAAGTTGATTTACTTGTACCACAAATTATACAGCTGAAAACAAGCAGTGGTACTTCCTGTGGTACTAGGCTAAAGAACACGAGCAATACAAGAGGGAGGACAGCCCAGTACAGGTAAATGTGATCTCTCCCTGCATCTTTTCTCAGGTAGGCCTTTTCTCTTTTGCCTCTTCCATACACACATTTTTACTCACTAGCAGTGAGCCAGCCACAACAAATGACACTTCACTCCTATCACTAAACCAGTGGATAGAGTTTCCTGAAAAGCTATGTACCTCTTTCTTGATTCTGATATCCTTTAAGCTTTTTTCCCTAGACATCCAATCAATATACATCAGTGAAGGAAACAATTTCATTTGCAAAGTATTTTTCATCTACTTCTACACACAGCTGTTCATTCACCACTGTTGATTATTTACATCCAGTGTTGCTTCTTCTACACAGACACTTGATCACTGCAGTTTTAATTCCCATCTCCATGCAAGAATTTACATAATGTTTTCCATACTGGCTGGTCAAATCCACATCCACATAATACAATAAATACAGCGTGTTTGTAACGCTTTCAAGGCTTGTTTGCACAAGGGAACAGTTCAGAGCACTACTTCTGAAGATGGATTAGGCTAACCTGACCCAGGATAGCCATACACCATAATGAGAGCATCCATGCATGCTGTTATTCAGGATAACTGTGCGCTTCATCCCCACACTCATTCTGAAACCAACAGTCGAGTACAAACCCCTTAAATCCAGGCATACACTAGTAAGTTTAACATATGTCCTCTTACTTAACATAAGCATGCACATTATAAGGGATTACCAGCAATGTTTTCCTGTTAGTCACTACTAATAAAAATATACATAGTGATGTTCCTCCAATTCAAGCATTACTTTTATTAAAAAGGAGCCATAAGGTCCTCCATGCTCTACACATTCAAAAGATAACTACTGAGTTCACAACTGCATAAAGCTTTTAAACTTACCACTCTATTCGTGCAGATTTCACAGAAGATGGCATGCACTACAAAGCCGTTTTATTGCAAAAGGCTACCAGAAGGCAAGTGATGCAATTGTTTCTTGATCAGTTATCATGGACTTTTAGGCAAAACTGTGTTTTCGTCCTCTTTCTCAGTCCGGTCTTGACTGTTGCCTCTTGATCTTTTCACTAGAAAACAAAGATATTTTAAAAGCAGTTAAAACAGCATGTATTAACATCCTATTTTTTACGTTTGCCTTAACTGTAGCTACAGCCACAAGCAGTTTGTTGTTTCAGAAGCAGGGCAGCTTTAACCTCCAGAATTCAAACACTTCCTGGACTAGATCACACACACATTTTACCAGCCCACTTATTCCAAAATATTTTTATTATTTACGTTCGTTATCAGCACAAAGGCGGATGAAGCCATTTATGAATCAAACCGCCTGCTCAGCCGAGCTAGGAAGCCAAGCCGTCCCTTTCGGTGCCCATTTCGCTGGCATGAGGAGCTGGCTCAGGGAACCCTGGGCCTCCCAACCCGCCCAGGCCTGGGCCCGGGCCGCACCGTGCCGTGACGCATTTTCAGATGCCACTCGGCA